ACCCCAATAGATTTTGTTTCATTTACTCTGTGAGTCTGTTTGGTCAGCCAGCTCTGTGGAGATAAAAATGAACGTTAGTAGAACCCTCATCTGACAACAGAAAAATTCATACTGGAAATCTGGAGATGTTTCGACTCATCCCTGTCAGACTTCTTGACCTAATCACTGTCAGAGCTAAGTCTTATCAACCAGGTTGGTAAATGTGACTCAGACTACTGCAGTCTCGGCACACGGACTACGTCGCGACCGAGAAACCCCTTCGCCGCCCGAGAATGCTGCCTACTGGTGATGCTGTAAAAGGCTGACTCCTCAGACCGTTCGGCCGCATCAGATAGGGAGGTCAGTCGTGTTACAACCAAGCATAACCGAACGACCCGTCCTCGTTTGGATCGACGAATTACGACTCATGTGGATTTTGTTAACCCCGCGGATCTACTGAACTCAATAGGCCTCAGTTTACATTTGTTTACTTTTCTTTTATCACTTTGCAGACATACCTCACTATTTTTCTTATATGTCACTACAAACATTTCCGTGATTCATCTTTCTATCGACAATATGTGCGTACATTTTGATGTTTCCCTGGTCCGTTAGATGTCCTAGAGTAGTCATTGTTCTATCGATAATTGGTTTACGCACAGTTACACATGATCCCTTCCAATAAAATCTCGTTACAAGCCGCTGTCTTTTACTGCCCGGGTAATTCCCATGAACTGAATGCCGGCATAAGATCTCATGCTGAGTAATGGACTTTTCAGGAACGGAACCTCAAGACCATCTCAAATCGCGTAGAACAGAAAAATGTCCCTAAGAAGAGCGGTATCATGACTCCACTAACCCGCACTGTTCAGACACTAAAACCGCGATGCTACCCCCTGCGAATCCCCATCCGATTTGGCGTATTCACCGTGGTGCCCACCGTAAGACGCAGGTAGATGTGGTCAGACCAGGCCTAGAAAGAATGCAGGTTTCAATGATCTGCGGTGTGCCTAAACGAAATCCCACCTGGTCGACTACTTTTGGGGCCCAAATAAAAGGTCGGTGTGCATGTGCTGCCTACTGTCGTGGGCCCTAAAGCCGATGAAGCAACTCTGGTGTTGGATGATAAAAGTACAAGAAAGTCTGATCCACCACTTGCCCTTAGAGGGGACTGAAGAACTCTTTCCATTGTTTCGAACTCTTTTGAGAAGACTTCTTGACGATTCTGAGTGGCTTTCCTCCCCTATGAGGGACGAATGCACTCTCCTCTTTATAGATCTTCGCTGGAAAAGACTCGGTCGGAGGAGGAGATGGATCGGTTTTCGCATTTCTCCACTCTCACTCATTTCTTAGGCCATAATTAGCACTACAGTTATCCTATAAGTTCACCGAAAATGGTCGAAAATTGGGCACGATTTGCATCAGAACTCTCCTGAGAAAAAGCGTGGAATCTCAGGGTTGCAGAATCTGCCGTCTGGAATGCACCCTAAGTTAACTTACTTGTCGGGCAGGGCTCGGGAAGGTAGGGGGTCTCTGAGCATTGTCAACACACAGGAAACATCGGTTGTCATCATTTTCAGTTTTTCTGTCGGATACATTCCACTTGTGATTACGCCAACGTGAGGTAGAGGGCACTGGCAAGCTAGTTCGCACTGACCTCGAATCAGGTCAGTGACTACTGCCGTTCAGAAGACAAAAGTAAGTACTTTGTAGGGTTGCCTCTAAGAGAGACAGAATAGCGTGGCCTCGAAGGCGGTACTTATTTGCTTATGTTCGAGTTTCATCTTGCCAACAGCACTGACTCCGAAGCACACAAGGAAGACAGTGAGGGATGTTGAGAGTCCTTGACTGCTCGTCATTAACCTCCCCCTCACCCTCCCCACTTCCACCCACCAAACCAGAGGCCCGTCGGTGGGAAGTAACCCTACTCCAGGCCGCCTTGGATTCTTAAAATTCTCTCACCCCTTCTTATCTCGTAATGCCTTTTAAAAAGTCCTAACCACACCTGGCAAATACATGGCATCTTTCTCGTGTTTAATAGCATTGCACACTGCACCAGGATTTCCGCAAAACACGCCACTGACAGACCGAAAACAACTGAGACTTCAGCCTCCGCCGGGGTCTAAAACTTCTTGAACTCTTCGCCCGTTTTCTTAGCTTACCCGCCAATCAGTTGAAAACTGCAGCTGCCGTTGACCCATTTCTGTTTACACGCGTATTACTGCCGTCTTATGGCTTACCAAGAACCGCAGTGTTTTCTTTTATTTCATGCGTGGTGTCCCTCTGGCGTCAAATGGGGCATTTCTTGGGCTTCAGTCTTGCGCCTGTCGTTGTGTTCCTGACAGACAAGCCTCCGGGCAAAATTATGCTCTTTCTTGATTAATTAATTACCGCCTCTATCTGCCGCAAGACCACCATCCCTCCTATGCTTCTTTAACGCTTCCTCCTGCAGCCTGGGGGAAAAAGGAAGGTTTCATGGCTGCGCCTTCCGTCGTGTTCCGCTCCATGAAACGACCTTTCAGTAAATTGGTTTGTCAGTGTCTGTGTGGCCCGAAAAATGGGCGGTCCTTGTGCGTTATGCCTATAAGGACACCACCTCGTATGGTGCCTTATAACTTGCTGGCCGGAAGGCTTCTGAAAGCAGGAGAGGCCGTGACTGTCCGCATTGAAAATGGCGAATTAAATTTCACGCAGCGAAGTCTGCATACATTTTACACTGCCACACATAACGACCTCGCCTCAAATGTATGCCGGTTGCCTTGTTGGATTTGAGCGCAGGGAGGGAAGGCTTATTTAGTGTCAGATATCTCACAGCACGGGGCGATTCATGTAGGTTAAGTAGGCTAAGTCTTGCATAACTAAGGCCGCACTCTAACAACTTTATCTGACAAGTGTTTTTCTTATATCAGGGCAAATAGATGAGAAGGTGCTGGCTAATATGATTGACCGGTCATCTCTGAAAATCCACCGAGTTCTACCCTCACCTTCATCGTTTATGTGAGACTCCAGTTACCTTTAGTAGTTAACGCCAGATTCAGTGGAAACAGAGGCTGGGGGGTTTTCAATGTGGTCCACAATACTTTCAAAGGCTTGCCCCTTAATTCTGAGGCTGAATATGGATGTGCCGCAGGAAATTACCATTCCATCATTGAACACCCAACCCCGAACACGTTTATTGTTACCACAGTCGCCGGCTTTGTCCGAGAAAGTATAAAAGGGACGGACAAGTTGAGAAAACGGAGTTCTTAACTACTTTTCAACAAGTTAAGTAGTCCTTTTTTGGCCTGTTCGAAGATTCATCGCACCCAAAATCGCGAGGTACCAACGGATCACACCACACAAGGCCGTGTCTGTATTGCCCATCGAGAGGGTGAAGATAAATGCCATAGGCTTGTCCTCCTGCGGACAATCGAGGTCTCTACGATGGCTGTATTGAGAGGCAAGTCCGGCATTCATCTGCCTTTGTTTAACTATCTCCTAAGGCAACATCGGTCATCCCAACCTTCCCAACTCACGTGCGTGCAGGATCAAGAGCATTAATTTTTCCTATCTCGTCGGGGCAATGAAGTGAATGCGATATCTGCGTTAATCAAGGGAACTAAGCATAAACGAGGGCTTTCGACGTCCTGCGCATGTGACAGGTTAATTTCCCGCCTTGGCGCATCCTACTCCGCTGTCGTCCTCACGGGGCAGACCCGAGGAACCACAGAAGGGGGAAGGGACAGATTGAGCCGCACACATCACACAGGCGTTGGTCAGATGTCCGCTAATTAAGGCAGTCCTGGCCTCATGGCTACCCCGTCTTTATTTATTGCCTCCTCCTCCTCCCCCCGCCTGGACGTTGTAGGGTCAGTTCAGGCGCTCCGTTCTTCCTGCCCACCACACGATCGTTTGTCCTCTTCTGCCTGTCCATCCTCCCGCACAGCATTCGAAGGCACAGGAAGGAGGAGCGAGGTCGGCTGATGTCACCAACTCGGTCTGACTTCTCTCCCTCCTCCTCGTCCTCCTCCTCGTCCTCCTCCCCTTCCTCCTCTTCTTCCTCCTTCTTTTCCATCACCTCTTTCCCGCCGCCTTTCCTGCTTTCCCATCCCCCTTCCTGCATCGGCTGCGGCCTGGAAGTGGGTTATCGTGAGGACAACTTGGGTGCACAGGCGTGCGCTTGCCGCTGC